GCTAGGAGTGGGTGCCAAGATGATGCTCTGGAGGCAGGAAATGGGGAAAGGGCAGGGAAAGAGAACGAGGGTACCAGTCAGTTCGAGGCAAGAGTTGGAGACAACAGTAAGGAGAAAGAGACAACACAGCACTACAAAGAAAAGTAAATTAAAGCAAACCTGTGTCTATGAAAGAAAGCAAAAAGTAAAAGCAAAAAAGCCTGAACCTATGAATGAAAACAAAAAAAGCAAAAGTAAAAAAAAAAACTTAGCCTACGCGGATGGAAACTGCACTATAATAACCCATCGTCAGTAAGGGGTTCCCTTATTTACAGCTGTTTAGGTAAAGCTCAGAGCGAAAAAGTTCGATTGGATTTACAAAAAATTCCACAAAACAATTCCAATGTATTATCTTCGGCAACACTCACATCGCCGTTTTCTGCCTCTAAATTTCAGAGAAACAAAGGTCCAGTCCACCCCACTTTTTTTGTTCTTGCTTTTTGCCTTCATTCATAGGCTCAAGTCTGCTTTAATTTACTTTTCTTTGTAATGCTGTGTTGTCTCTTTCTCTTTACTATTGTCTTCAGTTCCTGTCTCGAGCTCCTTACCTACATCCCCCCTCTCTACCATGTCCCCAAATTCTGTTTGCAGAGCAGTATCTGAGTTCCTCTCCATCCCCACTATGAAAGCAAGCGGTTCAGCCCTTTCCTCATCCTATTTATTCATAATAGTAACCAGCAACACACTTCCTCCTCACTTCCACCCATCACACCCCTCTGCCCCCCCCCCCTTCCTTCCCTTGAAATGCAAGTGACTTAGTCAACCGGCAAAAAATCGTAGCCATTAAATTCACCTAACTCAGCCCTCTTCTCCTGCCTCGAACCTCTGCGGACGAAACCCGCAGCGAAACCGTCCTCCTTCCCTCCACCCTACCTGCTAAATAGAACGCCTGCAACTCATTGTGGGATGACGTTACCCGCAATTGCGAAAAATTTTTTGCCGGCCGAGCTGAGCTGAACTCTCAGAACTTTACATGAAGAGAAATGGAAATTTGTCGTCACAGACAATGCAAATTAGACGGTGAACAGGGAGTGGAGAAGAATGACGAAATCGCATAAAACTTTTATGTACACGAGAACTACACGTATTTAGGAAATAGATCCAAAATTTTTAGATCACATGTGAACAGGGGAAACCCCCTTAAAATTCCAACTTTCTAGTTTTTCGGATTCTGAAGTTAGCAATTTTTTTGCCAATTTTTTTGGCTCAGGAGTGAGTGAAAGTTGGCCCCATGTTCCAAAGGCTGCACTTGACCAGGGAACCCACTGGCAAAATTTCAGCATCTAAGCATACTTGGCTGCCCAGCTGAAATACCCAGATGGGCAAATACACACACCATGCAAGCACACACACGAACAAGCACTCACATACACACACACACGCACACATATACCCACATATACACATACATACCATGATTATCATAATATACATTTCTGCTGACTGCTGCAGCTAGCGTTATGCCGCAAAAATGCACAAAAAGATTAACCAGATGGAAAAAGGATGAACCGGCAGCAAAATCACAAATACTTCTTGCGCTAGAAACAAAATAAGACGCAGTATTTACACTTAACAACACTGACAAGTAAGGTCAAGTCAAGCCTAAAATCTCTTTAATACTGTTTCTCTAGAAAGCCAGAGGCACACGATAAATAGTCCAAGCGGTAGCAAGTGCAAACAGCAACCAGATACTGACAAAGGCGTGAAGGGTACTCTCTTTCAAAAGTTGTTTAGAAGCAAGATGATAGCTGATTTAGCATAAGTCAGTACCACTTTGCCTTCGAAACGACTGCACGAATCGTAGAGGACTGAATCCCTACGTTGGACTGTCGAACTTCTAGACGACAAGCTATTTCTCACTGCGTTGTCCCAGCTATTTCTCACTGCGTTCTTAGAGAAATTTTAGT